TCACAACACAGACCCATCTACAACAGCAAATAATCGAGGGATATGACGATGGCTTTGTTTAAAGCGGTTTTTCTCGCCACATTGTTACTCAGTACTTGTGGTTATTCTCTCTCTCTCTCTCTCTCTCTCTCTCTCTTCTTTTAAATATATAATATTTACATACGTCAAATAAACTTACACACCCTCTTCACATTTAGTGAGTTATGTACCTCCTACACATACTAAATACCCTTTGGTGTCTCTTCCTCTATGTTAAGTTGTTGGTTTGATGCGTGTTAATTAGGGTCTCCGTTTGTTCTTGAACATTATGAAGAATGCACAGTGACATGTGTTTTATGTTTGTTATTGCAGTTTTAGGAGTTGAAGTTCAGAGTTCTGCTAAAAGCGAAAGCATTGATGTTGAGAATTTATCAGAAAGCAAAACTGCAGTTGTAAATGATCAACGCCCATGTGCAGATAGAACGGATTGTAGTTTCTTCTGCCCTCCTAGGTTGAGTCCATTTTGTTTAGGGGGATTTTGCCGATGCATTAGTTGAAGAGGAAATTGCTTATCAATAAGAATTATATGTCTACAATGATTTTATAAGTCATGTTGAATGCGCATTCATATTATAACGGAAAGAATACAAATGACTTGCATGTCCATGCGTTTTTTGGATATATTTTCTTTAAGTTGTTATATTTTTAGCAACAGTTGTCTTTCATTTTCTTTGAGATTGTTCATATAAAAACACCAGTTTCTAATAAAATAGTTCAATAATTTACTAGTACAATAACAGTTTTATCATAATTTAGAGAATTTTTATGTAAGGACAAGTTTGAGAACTATGAAAATGAAATACTCATAATGAATATACTAGAAGGGTACTCGTGCAATGCATCGAGACACATCTCGATCTCAATGTTTCGTTTTATTCTTTATCTATGTCGATATAATACGGTTTTGTGTGATTTTGTGAAAACGATAATGTTTTATTTTTTAATAAAATATGAATTTGGAAGTATCATAAAATTATGAAGAAAAAAAAATATTTATATTAGTATCAAATTAACTATTTAAAAGTTCTTATTTCATGTAATTTCTTTAATTCAAAATTTTTATTATAGTTTAATTTAGGTTTAATAATAGATAATCATTAAGTATTATGTTAACACTCAACGATTATCCTAACTATATTTAATATTTTTTATATTTAAAATGAAATGTTTATCATGTATTTGATTATGTTTATTTGCAGTTAATTACACGAATTCAAACATGAAACTTTAATAAGTTATACTTACGCACAACTTACTTGTAATTTTGAATTTTAAGTAATATGTATTAATAAACAGTATTTTACGCATAAAAAATACTTTTAAGAGTTTTTGTCAAATGTTTTATAATATAGTATAGATATAGATTTATCT